ACTGTCCCTGGAGTGATAAGAGGTCTGCCCTGGGGGAACAGTGAGGAGTGGCTCCAGAGTCGACTTTGTCCAAACTGGGTTTTCCTTGAAGAACCAGTATGAGTGGAACAAGCAAAGAGGTGGGGGAGGGGGACAAGGTCACCTGGGCCACGGAGCAGCTTGTACAAAGGCAGAGTGGACAACTGAGTCATTCGTCCCATCATGCACTCAGCTAATATTTAAGTGTCTACTATATGCCAGCCCTATGCTATGCGCTGGGACAGTGTTGAATGACAAAAAGACAGGCCCCGCCCTTACCCTCAGGCAGCCCAATCAGGGAGAATCACATAAATAAAATAAAAATGGTGGGTGACAACTGTGTTGGGAGAATGACTAATACAAGGAGTCAGGGAAGACTTCTCTGTGGAAGTGACAACCCAAGGGGAAGCTGAGGGGGGCAAGAGGTGGGGGGAGGCACCTTCCAGGATGAAGGAACAAGTGCCACAGCCTTGGCAGGAAGGGGCAGAGGAGAAGAGAGGGAGACTAAGCCACACAGATAAGACCAGGCAGGTGAAGCAAAAGTGTGGAAGGTGTGGAGAAAGGCAAGTGCTTTGGATGACCTCAGCTGCTATTTCTCAAAGCATGGCCTGTGACCACGTGCCACCAAATCTCCCTAGGCTTGTGTAAAAATCAGATCTCTGGGCCCCTCCCCACCTACTGAATCTACTGAGTCTCCTGGACTGAGACCCAGGAATGTCTGGTATTGACAAGCCCTCAGGTGGCTGTTCTGCAAGCCACATTTGAGAGCCATCCATCCTGTCTGTCCAGACTGGTGGGAGCAGTGGGCAGAGGCCAGGCCCTGCAGAGTCTATCTGGGCTTAGGTGGAGGCAAAGGAGAGCAGCAGACTTCCATTTTGGAAAGATCACTCTGGATGTTGAAGAAGAGCTGAAGAGGGGAGTTAGACTCAGAGGGTTAAGTGCTATAGTATTCCATTTCTATGGCTTTCTGGAAAGGGCAGATCTGTGGTCGGGGAGGAGGCGGAGGCTCAACAGTAGAGGGGCACAGGGAACTGTGGTCTGTATCTTAGTTGTGGTAGTGGATACACAACTGTGTGTGTTTATCAGGACTCAGAACTGTACACTCAAGAGGGTGAATTTTACAACGTCTAACTGTATCCGAACTTATTAAAAAAAAGAAGAAGAAGAAGAATGGATTTCTCGGTCAATGGAACAGAATCAAGGGTCCATATATAAACCTTTACATTTATAGTCAGCTGATTTTCACAAAGGCACCAAGACAATTCGGTGGAGGAAAGCATAGTCTTTTCAGCAAATGGCGCTGGGACAATTGAATATCCACATGCCAAAAGATGAATTTAGATCCTTACCTCACACTAAGCCCAAAAATTAACTCAAAATAGATCATAGACTTAAATTTAAGAGCTATAACTATGAAATTTCTAGAAGAAACCATGGGAGAAAATCTTCATGACCTTGGGTTAGGCAGAGATCTTAGATACAATACCAAAAGCAGAAGTGACAAAAGAAAAAAAAAATAGATAAATTGGATTTCATCCAAATTTTAAAATTTTGCACATCACAAGTGTGACACCATTAAGAAAATGAAAAAACAAGGTACGGACTGGGAGAAAATATTTGCAAATCATATATCTGATAAGGGATTTTGTTTCCAGAATATATATTTTAAAAAAACTCCTATAACTCAACAAACAACCCAATAAAAAAATGGGCAAAGGCCTTGAACAGATATTTCACCAAAGAAGATATACAAATGGCCAACAAGCACATGAAAAGATGCTCAATGTCATTAATCACTAGGGAAGTGTGAATTAAAACCACAATGAGATACCACTTCACACCCACTAGGATGGCCATGATTAAAACTAAAACAAACTAACAGCAAGTGTTGGCGAAGATGTGGGGAAACTAGAACACTCATCTGTTGATGGTGGAATTGTAAAATGGTGCAACCATTGTGAAAAACACTGTGGCGGTTCCTCAAAAGACCAAACAGAGAATTATCATATGATTGTTGTTCTGTGCCGTCCAACTCAACCCTATATGGCAGAGTTGAACTGTCCCATAGAGTTTCCTGGGTAGTCTGTAATCTTTACAGGAACAGGTTGCCAGGTCTTTTTTCCCGAGGAGTGGCTGGTGGGTTCTGGTGGGTTCGAACTGCTGACATTGTGGTTGGCAGCCGAGTGCTTAATCATTGTGCCACCAGGCCTCCTTAGAATTACCATATGACCCGGTAATTCCACTCCTAGATATAGACCCAAAAGACTTGAAAGCAGGGATCCAAACAGATACTTGTACACACCAGTGTTCATTGCAGCACTATTCACAATAGCCAAAAAGTGGAAACAACCCAAGTGTCCATCAACAGATGAATGGATAAACAAAATGTGGTGTATCCATACAATGGAATGGAATTCAGCCATTAAGAGAACTGAAGTTCTGATACATGCTACAGATAGATGAACCTTGAAAACATTACACTGAGTGAAATAAGTCAGACACAAAAGGACAAATACTGTATGAGCTCACTTACATGAGTTACCTAGAATAGGCAAAGGCGTAGAGACCAAAGTTTATTAGTGGTTATCAGGGGCAGGTGAAAGGGGGAAAGTAGGAGTTGTTGCTTAAGGGGATCTGAGTTTCTGTCAAAGGTGAGGAAAAAAATTGGAAACAGATAGTGGTGAGCGTTGCACAACATGGTGAACATAATGTCACTAAATTGTACATGTAAAATGGTTGAAAAGGCAAATATTTTGTTATATATTTTTACCACGCACACAGAAAGACAAACAGCCCTATTAAAAATGAGCAAACTACTTGAATAGACATTTCTCCAAAGATATAGGAATGACTAATAAACACATGAAAAGGTGCTCAGCATCAATAACCATTGGGGAAATGCAAATTAAACCACAATGATGAGATACCACTTCACAGCCACTGGAGCAGCTGTAACAAAAAAGGAGAATGTGGAGAAACTGGAATCCTCACACACTGCTGGTGGAAATATAAAATGGTACAGCCACTTTGAAAAAGCTTGGCAGGTTCTTAAAAAGTTAAACATAAACTTGCTGCCCATACCAAAACCAAACCCCTTGCCATCAAGTCAGTTCTGACTCATAGCTACCCCATAAGACAGAGTAGAACTGCCCCATAGGGTTTCCAAGGAGGGGCTGGTGGATTCAAACTGCTGACGTTTTGGTTAGCAGCTGTAACTCTTAACCACTGCGCCACCAGGGCTCCAAACTTAGCACAGAACCCAACAATTTCACTACTAGGAATCTTCTGAAGAGAAATGAAACATATGTCCATACTAAAACATGTACACTAATGTTCATAGCAACGTTACTCAAAATAGACAAAAACTGAAAACCCAAATGTCCATCAACTGATGAATGGATAAACAAAAGGTGGTATAGCCTTACAATGGAATACTATTTAGCAATAAAAAGGAGCAAACTACTAATAAATGCTGTTGTTGTAGTTAGGTGCCATCAAGTTTATTTTCTTCTCCTAGTGACCTCATGTGACAGAGTATAACTGCCCCGGAGAGTTTTCTAGGCTGTAATCTTTACTGGAGCAGACGGTCAGGTCTTTCTCCCACAGAGCCTTCAGGTGGTTTTGAACTGCCAACCTTTTCATTGTGCCACCGGATCTCCTTCCTGATACATGCTATAGCGTGGATAAACCTCAAAAACACTATGCTGAATGAAAGAAGCCAGAAGCAAAAGACTACATATTGTATGATTCCATTTATATGAAATGTCCAGAAATCAGAAATTTAAAGAGACAGAAAGCAGATCTGTGGTTGCCTTGGGCTGAAGTTGCGAGTGTGGGTTGACTGCAAGCAGGCAAGAGGGAACTTTTCAGGTTGAAGGAAATATTTTAAAACTGGATTGTAGTGATGGTTGCACAACTGTATAAATCATCGAATTCTTAATTGAAAAAAAAAAAGAATAGTTTGAAGGGATGCCAGAGCGGAAAGACGTGTTAGGATACTGTGGTACTCCAGGGAGAGATGAGGCAGCGAGGTCTTAGGCAGCCTCCGTTTTCAGAGCTACAAAATGGGAATAATGATGCCGGCCCTGTCGTGAGAGGCTGGGGATGAGACAGTGGATGTGTAGGAGCTGAGTGCACGTAACGGGCGCACAGAGCCTGAGGCGCAGGCGCCCCAAAGACAAAAGTATGCAGGGAAGAGGCGGTCGCTGCCCTAGATTGGAAAAACCAAAACCCGTTGCAGCCGAGTCGATTCGGACTCATAGCGACCCTATAGGACGGAGTACAGCAGCCCCATAGGGTTTCCAAGGAGCGGCTGGCTGGTGGATTCGAACTGCCGACCTTTTGGTTAGCAGCCAAACGCTTAACCACTGCACCCTAGATTGGAAAAGGCACAGTTTAAAGCTTCCGGAGTTATCAGTACCTGGAGTAATTTTAAAATGCCATCAGTATGTGAGCGGGAAATAGCAACTAATATATACCTGTCCCCATCCAGGTCCTGGAGCCTTGGATGGCTGCTAACCAAAATGTCAGCAGCTCAAAGCCACCAGCCGCTCCTTGGAAACCCTGTGGGGCAGTTCTACTCTGTCCTGTAGGGTTGCTATGCGTCGGAATCGATTGGACAGCAACGGATTTGTTTTTTGTTTTTTTTTTTTAATATCCTCAGGCCCCGGGGCCGCTTGCCCCACCACTGTCCCTTCCTTTTGTAAACTGGAAAGCGTTTTGTAGTCTAAATTATTTCATTAGATTAAATAAGGCCGTGAGGTTCGGGGGACATCAGGTCCGGGGCAAACCCGGTCCCTGAGAACCCAGCCCAGGTAAAGCGGTCTGCAGCCGGCCCAGCCCCGAGCCCTGGACGCGAAGCCACGAGCTGGGGACTACAGTCGAAACACAACAGCGACTGCGGCCGCCAGGGGCGCCCAGGCACAGCGCTCAGCCCCGCCCCGTCCCGCCCCGTCACGTGCCCGCGGCGTCGCGTCACACCCGGAAGCAGCCGCCCGGGAGAAGCCGGCAGCGATGAACGGGGAACCCGGGGAGATATCCTTAGCGCCCCCTCCCGGGGAGGTCGAACCGGGCAGTGGGGTCCGCATCGTGGTGGAGTACTGGTGAGCATTCCCCGCTGGTGGGAGACCCGGGCCAGATGGGGGTGGATCCACGAGAGGCCTTTCCCTCGAAACCCCAGCCGACCCCAGATCCCTTCTCCCCAGTGAACCCTGCGGCTTCGAGGCGACGTACCTGGAGCTGGCGAGTGCCGTGAAGGAGCAGTATCCTGGCATCGAGATTGAGTCGCGCCTGGGGGGTACAGGTGAGGCCTGCAAAACACCTGCTGAGTCAGTCTGTGTTCTAAATCCCCGCTCTACCATTTTCTAGCTCTGATATTCGCTGTTTCATATAAAATGTCCAGCAGTGTCTGGCACATAGTAAAATGTCTAACCAACGTTGAGTCCCCTTTCATAGGTGAGGAGTCACAGATGAGGCCTCTAGGGAAAAATCCATGAGACTCAAAAAGTAAGTGTGGAGGGGAGGGAGCCCATTGGGTGATGAAGCTAAGTTTAGAGGAGGGACACAGGTGAGATCTCCTTTAGGTCCCTTTGGGTTGGCCCAAGGTTGGGGAGTGGCTTAAGGAGCTACAAATGAGTCTCTAGTAGGGCCGATGGGGGACATGAAGGAGCATGTGTGAAGTCTAAGGGATTGGAGGCCCACCCCTGACCTCTGCCTTCACCATACCATTCACTCGTCCATTTATTTAATACCAGGGGCCTTTGAGATCGAGATCAATGGACAGCTGGTGTTTTCCAAGCTAGAAAATGGGGGCTTTCCTTATGAGAAAGATGTGAGTACTTGCAGTGTTGGAGGACCCTTGGGTCACCCTGCCCCTGCCTTGTATCACCCAATTCCACATCTCTGCTTTTTAGCTCATTGAGGCCATCCGAAGAGCCAGTAATGGAGAACCTCTAGAAAAGATCACCAACAGCCGTCCTCCCTGCGTCATCCTGTGACTGCACGCGGTTCTGGGGTCCAAGTCTTGGTCTCCCTTTCGGTCTTGATTGGGGTTCCCCCCTCCCACGTCTCCCTCCCTCCTTACTGAGCTCCTGGTAGCTAAAAGAGCCTGACCTCCACTTTGCGCCTTGGAGCTCCAAGGGGGAATAGAAGCTTCTGTGGTCTTGGGGATGGGAGAGGGACTCTCCCCACGGACATTTCCACTGACACCTTATACGTCCTTCCCAGGATCAGTGCCCACACAAGTCCAGTCCCCGCCCCAGCTTGGCAATACTTCTCAGATGCTACTGTAGTTCTAATTTATTCTCCTCCAGCCTGGGCAGTGTCAGCTGTTGGCAATAAAGTGACACAACAAACAGTTGTGCCAACTAGTGTGTTTTTATATCCAGCCCAGGAGTGTGGGGGGCAGCCTTTGTATCATCTGGCTGTGCTGGATGAATGTGCTTTTTCTGGATAGTTCCTTCTTACTTTAACAAGCTCTTCTCTTATAGCCAAGGCAAGGAAAATGAGTCACACAGTAGACCCTGCCCCTTCTGGCCCCCACCCCACCCTCAACTCCTCTTACCCAGAGGGAGGAAGTTACCCCATTCTGGTGGGTGGCTTTAGGAATTAGTTTGTTCTAGGCAAGAATGATCTGGTTATCAAAGGGCTCTCAGAATCCCCAACTCCCCAGATCACCCCTTCCCCAAAAGCCAGGCTCCTTCCCCAGGAGAAGATGAGATGACTATAAGTCAGGAGACCAGCAGTAAGGGATAGCACAGAGCCACTCCCAGACAAAGTCTGGGGCTCAACTCTTTTCCAAAATATATTTGCAAATGGAGAAGGTGGGCGTGGAGAAAGGGGACAACCCTTCCCCCAACCCCAGAGGCCCCATTCCACACAACATCCACTCTCCCCCTGGGTCCTTATTTCATCTTAAAAAAACAACAACAACAAAGAACATAAGTAAAAACAAAACAAAAAAGCACTCTGTACAACATCTGGATTCTGGATACAGTTGCTGCCCCTTCTTCCAGGGGAGCAAAGCTGGGTCTCAGGGACATAGTTTCTGAAAGTCACTCTTGTTCTTAGGAACTCCCTTTCCTCATCCGCTTGGGGCCTCTTCCTCTACTAGTCCTAGCTTCCAAAGTCCTTCCAGACCAGGGATCTGGAAGAGGGCCAGGCTGGGCTGCTGCCTCAGGTGCGGAGACTGGCTGTGGCCCGAGCATCTGGTGGTGCACGGGTCCAAAAAAAAACCAATCAAGACTCTTCGGCGCCCCCTCCTCTCCTAGCCAGGCCAGACCCCTCTCAGCCACCTGGGGATGAAGGGTCCTGAGGACAAGTTCTTAGCGTGGCAGGCTCCTCTGGACACGGTCAGAGGGCCCTCTTCTGCTTCATCCTGATACGGGCCCGAAGTCAGGCCTTCCCCACTCCCTGAAGGTACAGCAGGGCCTCAGCCAACTTGGCCTTTTGGCTCACACTGGTCCGTCCAGGCCCAGGTACTCGGGGTTCTCTGCTGTAGGGGTCCCTTCAAAGGTGCTGGGTGGAGAGCCCCGCTCAGATGGGTCCTGGTCCCAGTAATAGAGGTTGTCAAAGGCTGGACTGAAGGCAGGGGGAGGATGGGGTGGAGGGGCAGCCCCTCCCTGGGGTGCCAAGTACTCGGGGTTCTCCACGGCACCCCCAAAGGCAAAAACGTCTTTGACAACCCCATTCTTCCCAGGAGAGAGAGTCTTGGGTCTTTCCAGAGTGGCACCAGCAGGGCGGGAAGGAGGCAGAGGGACCTCTAGGGGTGAGGGGGGCTGTGGTCGAACCTCTGGCTGGTTCACATATTCTGAAAGGGCAAGAGAAGGGGTGGGCATTGTTAGGGAAAGGAACTCGGGTGTCCCTGCCACTACCACTGCCCCCAGTGGATGCGGGGCTGAGGTGTGGAAGGCCAAACTCCCCCACCTCCCAGTCTCAGCTTGGGCCTGGGCTCCATACCGGGCTGGGGGCTGCAGGTCAGGGGGGCAACGTAGCCATCAGTCTCAGGTGGGAGAGTTACTGTGGGGTCCTCGCTGTACCGCTGTAGAGGGCTGGGGTCGTGTGAGGGGAGGCACTGCAGCCCTTTGGCTGTCCCCATTACCAGGTCGCCATCAAACACATCGGAGCCAGCCCCTTCTGAAGGTGCCAGTGGTGACCTGGGGGGCTCCTCCTCGGAGGGCTCCAGCCCCAGGGTCAGCTCACCACCGCCACTCTGAGGACAAGAGAGTCATGATGGTGGTCATTCGGGGATCTGGGTTGGGGACGCCATGGGAGGTGACAGGGTCCCAGGAGCCCTTGGGTATAACATAGTCACCGTGAAGAGAATGAGGTCACAGGGTACTCACGGGTTGGAAGGCAGCAGGAATCCTTAGGGGAAATGAGGTCTCCAAAAGAGATGATGGGGTCAGGGAACATCAGAGAAAGGGACCCAAGTCCACAGGGATGGGAGTCAGAGAAAGGGACCCAAGTCCACAGGGGTGGGAGAGGAAACCACACACCCACCGTGTGACTAAGCACTGACCCTGGTGGATGAGCTGCGGTGCCTGCGGTGGGCTGTGCCCCCAGTGCCCGGGGTAGGGTCTGGGCAGAAGAAGCCCTGCTGGGGCACCAGGTACTCCTCAGCATCCACCAGGTCCCCCATGTCATCGTCCTCCAGCAGCGAGCGGTAGAAGGTGCTGTCCAAGGGGCTGGCGGGGCCCATGTCCTCATTCTGAGGAGGAAGGAGACAGAAGGTGGCGGCATCTGCCCAGCCCAGTGCGTAGCCTCCCAAGGAGGGCTCAGGGAGGTGTGGTGAGTCGGGCAAGGGCAGGGCGTGGAGGCCTGGAACCCAGGAGTCATCTCCCTTTCCCACTCTTTGAGGGAGGGTACTTTTCGTTATAGGTAAGGATGAGGTGGAATGGCCCAGTACCTGGATAACTACAAAGCGCTGGGGGTCCCTGGCCATGCGAGAGAATTCGGCCACCAACTCCCGGAACCGTGGCCGACACTCAGAGTCAATCATCCAACCTGGGGCAGGAGGGAGCTCAGTATCTCAGTCCTGGTTCCAGCCTGTGTGTTGTCCCTCCTCCCCCTCCCCCTTAAGTCTGGCCTGGACAGCCCAGCTACTAGAACCAGAGTCTGGAGTCCTGGGCCAGAACCTCGGGCATCTCCATCTGTTTCCTCTTTATTTGTTTTGCATATAAGTTCCTTTCTAGCTGGTCCTCTAGGGCTCCTCGGGACTTTTACTGTGAAAGACTAGACCCTTTTGAAACCAGTTGCTGAGAAGTTGATCCCCACTCATGGTGACCCCATGTGTGTCAGAGTAGAACTGTGCTCCATAGGGTTTTCAGTGGCTGATTTTTCAGAAGTAGGTCACCAGACTTTTCTTCCAAGGTGCCTCTGGGTGGATTCAAACCTTCAATCTTTTGGTTAGCAGCATTAACCCTTTACATCACCCAGGGACTCCAGGCCCTTTTGAGGCTCCTTTAAATATACCATTATCGGGGTCCATATACATCCAGCTCTTGGCCGCCTCCCCCCATGCCCCTTGTGGGCCCTCTACCCAGGACCTCCTATCCCCTCTGCCATGTAGCTGGCACAGCCCAGCCACGCACATTTGACCATGATCATGTAGACATCGATGGTGCAGATGGGGGGCTGGGGTAGCCGTTCCCCTTTCTCCAGAAGGTCAGGGATCTCCCGTGCTGGGATTCCATCGTAAGGTTTGGCCCCAAAAGTCATCAGCTCCCACACAGTCACACCTGGGGCAGAGACAGAAGTGAGGGGTGGGCGGGGCAGAGGGAGATTTAGTGGACTGAGCCCAAGGTTCTGCCCAGAAGCCTGACACCATGCGGAGGGAGGGTGTAAGGCCAAGGGGCAGGATCTGCCCAGTCTCCCCACAATTCCTGGGATATGCACAGACCCAGGCAGGGTGGGGCACGGATAGAGAATTGTGCTTGGCTTCAAGCAGGGCAGCCTCTTCCTTCCCTCCTATTCCAGCTCTCATCCTTCCACCAGCATCCCCCCAGGGCCATGGCTCCTCATTCACCCCTCCTGTTCCTCCCTTGCCACACACCATAGCTCCACACGTCACTCTGGTGGGTGAACCGTCTGCGGAGAATGGACTCTAATGCCATCCACTTGATAGGAACCTGGAGGAATAGTGGAAGCCCCTGAATTGGGTGTGGTGCAAGGTGGCCATTCTCAGGGTCCTCCCAGGGGCCAGACCCTGGTCCACCCTGCCTCATTCTGCTCCCTCCTCTAACCTTGCCCCCATCTGCGTGGTACTCAGTCTCGTCAATGTCCAGCAGCCGTGCCAACCCAAAGTCTGTAATCTTCACATGGTTGGGGCTCTTAACGAGCACATTCCGGGCAGCCAGGTCCCTGTGCACGAGCCGCACATCCTCCAGGTAGCTCATCCCCTACAATCACAGGCATGGCTGTGGACCTTCCAGGAGTGCCACACCCTGGCCACACTCTCCCAGGGCAACTCCCCATCCTGACCCTCCCTGTGTGGAGATAGGAACTTGCTTCCAAGGGCACCTGCAGAGCCCAGGCTCCTGAAGTGCATACCTTGGCAATCTGCACACACCAGTTCAGCAGGTCCTGGGAGCCCAGGCGTCCGCGGTGTTCCCGGACGTGGTCTAGGAGGCAGCCATAGGGCATGAGCTGTGTCACTAACTGTACTGTGGATGTCAGGCAGATGCCCAGGAGGCGGGACACATATGGGGAGCCCACACCAGCCATCACGTATGCCTCCTGGGGGCGAGAGTACACACTGAGATGGTATGGAAGACCACAAAGCCCAACCACCACATCCCTCCTAAGGGGTGAGGCCCAACCCAGGACCCTCACCTCATCCCACTCCATCCACCACAAACCAGAGTCATGGGTCACAGACCGGGGAGGTTAAGAATCAAGGTTTGGTAATAACAAAGTGTCTCCCCAAACCCCAGAGCCCACATAAGCAGCCAGGGAGTCTCCCTGTACTCCTGGCTGGAGAGGGTAGAGGGGCTTACGTCCAAGATTTCTTTGTTGGCTTTAGGGGATGTGTTTTCCCTCAACACTTTGATGGCCACTGGAATTTTCACATTCTCCCCATCGGGGATCCAGATGCCCTGGGCAGAAAAAGGGGGATGTGAGGGAAGAGTGCTGGCCAGATGGAGCCGGCAGTCCCGGAGTCATTGCTCAGAACGCCCCTCCTTCCCGCGGGCAACCTAACTAGGCCTCCTTTTTCCCTGTTCCCACTTCTGTATCTACCCCTCCCGAACAGCACTGTCCCCAGATTTGGGCAGTAGCTCCCTACGCCCAACTGACTACCTTGGCTCCATCCCTCCCCTTGTCCCATCCTCCGGAGCCACCCACGCCAGGTCCTGGCCCCGCCCCTGACCTTGTAGACTGTGCCGAAAGCTCCAGATCCAAGCACTTTCACCTTCCTAAGCTCCGTCTCTTTAAGGATCCGCATCTGAGCCTGGTTGGGCAGCGCTCCGCTGGGCGTCAGCGGCTCCACCAGCTGGGGTGAGGGGGTGGTGGTCAGTGCCGGGCTGGGCCGCAGTTTTCCCAGAGTCCGGCTGGAAGGCCGTTGGGCCGCCTCACCTCCGTTTCCTGCAGCAGCCTCCGCATCGTGTACTTCCGGATCTTCTGCCGCCACCGCTTGATTACGATGCCCAGGACCAGCCCCACGACCATGAACAGCAGGATGCCCACCACAGTGGTGATAATGGTCACGTGGCTGGGGGTGAGAGCTAGGGTCAGGGAGTGGGGGCACTGGTCCGGGGCAGGAGGGATGAAGGGGTCCCCTGGAGGGACATGAAGGTCACCGGCTTTCAGAAAGGGAAGTGAGAAGGATGACCTACAGGCTCTGACCCGCTCTCCCTACTCTAAAACCTATCTTGCTCCCCACTGCCTCCAGAATAAAGTAAAAACTTGCCTGGCATTCAAAGCCCTCTCTACCCACACCTCCAAGGTCTGTATGCTCTTGGCTTGACTCTAGCCCAGTATTCTCAAACCTCACGGCATGAAAATCACCAGGGAGTTTGTCAATATGATTCTGGAGCCCCACCCCCAGAGATTCTGATTGCGGTAATGGGTTGGGCCCGGGAATGTGCTGTGCACCCAGTGATTCTAATGTTGTAGCCAAATTTTTCACCCATAGGCCGTGATTTTCCACACCTCCCAGCCTTTGCACATGCTATTCCTTCTGCCTGGAACACCATTTCTCACTTTCAAGACTCTCCTCATCCTGGGATACATGGACATCCCAGGTGTTGACCCTGTATCCTTGTCATCCGTGTTCCCCCCTTGCTTAGCACAGGGCCTGGCACATAGCCAACCTCTCATGAATGCTTGTTTCATGAACAAATAATTGCCTAGGACATACTCCAATCTGTTTTTCTCCCCAGAGCCCTTTTCAAGGCTCCCCACTGCCCAGACAATCAAATCCAGCTCTGTGGCCTGGATGGCAGGGCCCATGCCCTCCAAATCTGGCCCGAACCTGACTCAGCTGTCACTCCCTTCTCTATGCTTACTCAGTGGTCCAGCTCGCAAGCACACTAGATTTTCGTGACCCCTCCTTAAGACCTTTCCTCCACCTGGCTAGTTTTCCACTCTGCCCCTTTCAAGGCCTGGCTCAAATGGCACCTCCTCCCTGAAGCCTCTGCCATCCCATTAACGATTCATCACTCCCTGCTTAGTGTTACAGCAGCTGTCTCAATCTACCTTGAGTTCTGGGTTGTTGAACTTTGCCTGTGTCCCTCAAGAGAAATCAAGTTTACTCGAGGGTGGGGAGGTACTGGGCGTCTTAGCTGTCTCTTCCTGTTCCCCACCCCCTCCCCACATCCTCAGCAGGCCTTGGGTCCATTTGAAGTGGACTGAAAGGAGGATCAACAGTGGAAGAGTGGGCTGGGAAGGGACACGTGTCAGATCAGGAGACGCCCTCCCTGCAGCAGTGACCACCCAGGGCCAGTGGGCGAGTAAGGGCAATGCGGGGCGTGTCCTGGGGAGCAGGCCCACCTGGCTCTCTGCTCAGCGGGGCAGCCCTTCTCATCCAGGTCCACACAGCTGCAGGAGAGAGAGTCCTGTCAACAACTCTGGGAACCACCCTCCTGGGCTCACTCCAGCCTCACAACCACCACAGAGGTAGGTGGAGCTGGGTTATTATTCCCATTTAACAAAGGCAGAAACTGGGCTCAGGGTCACCAGTGTTCTTTCTGCCGTCCCACAAGGGAATACCTTCTCCAGCCTGGGAACCCACATCCCCTGCTCCCTGGCACCCACCCCTGTGGAAGGGAGAAAGAGAGGAGAAACCCAGAAGAGGAGCATTAGCTCCGAAAGCTCAGCTATTCCCTCTGTAAGAACCCCAAGGTAAAGTGACACAAGTTCTCCAGGACAGGCTGGCAATACCCATCAAATTAAAGAATGCCTATAACCCAGCACTTTCACCTCTCAGTATGTACCCAAAAAATGCCAGCACCTGCTCGCTTGCACATGGGGCCCTACTACAATAGGCTGTATAAAAAAAAAGGAAACGAGCTCACTCAAATAGGGACTCGGCTAAATAAATTATAATACATCCATCTTAGAGACTGAATAGTTAAAAAAGAAGGAGGTAGATCTATGAGCTCACAAGAAAAGACCTCCAAGATATATTAAGTGGGGAAAAAAGGGAAGTGCAGAAAATATGTAGAATATGATCCCGTTTACATTAAAAAATACACGCATGAACAACTAATTATATTTAAGAGTGAACTATATGAAATTGCTGTTTTTTGACCATTTTGACCTACAAACACAGCAATTGTATATAACTCAACCTAATACAAATGTAATATGTGTAAATAAATAGAAAAAAATGAATCTGGTGTTTTTGCCAGGAAGAGGGAGGGACTAGGTTGGGCAGGAGAGTAGAGCAAAAGAGCATATTTATTTTATAACGTTTATATTTTTATATTGCTGGAAATGTTTATAATAAGGATGTAATTATGTAATTCATGTGTAATTAAAAATAACTAAACGACGAAAATAAAAAGAATAAGGTAGCATACCGTGTTGGGGCATGGAAAAACACTGCAAGATTCTGTTAAGGGGAAAAAAGCAATTTGGAAGCAATATGTATGGTCTATGATCCCATTTGGATAAAATGATAGATAATGATAATAATAATAATATATGTTAGAACGTGCATAGATAAGAACAACTGACAGGAAAATATTCCAAAATATTAACAATGCAAATAGAACTGCTAGCAGCATTTATTTACATTTATAGCCCTGGTGGCGCAGTGGTTAAGCATTCAGCTGCTAACCAAAAGGTCAGCAGTTCTAATCCACCAGCTGCTGCTTGGAAGCCCTATGGGGCAGTTCTCCTCTGTCCTATAGGGTCGCTATCAGTCAGAATCCACTCAACGGCAATGGGTAATGGTAATGGGTATGTTTTATGGTTTTGTAATTGTTCATTTAAATTTTTTAACAGCGTGTTAAAACTTTTGTGATCAGGAAAAAAATACATGAAAAATTAAGAGTTGCAGGATAAGCAAAAGTAGAGCTGTCCCCCTTTTAGAATAAGAGCTGCACAGAGGCTCCTGACACAAAAGCCCCCCCGCCCCACTTCTGCAGAAAAGGCCCTCAGACTCACGAGTGGGTGCAGTTGATGGGGCATGGCTGGCACGTGCCCTCCTCATCTGGGAACTTCCAGATGGGCATGAAGGAGAGGTCAGGTTTCACACCGCTAGGGCAACGAGCCACACAGAAGGGAGAGTCCTTATAGTGAGCACAGGCCACACACTGATCAGCCTCCTGGGTGGGGAGGAAGGATTTGTGGGGGGCTGACACTGACACCCCCAGGGTAGTAGGATCCTCTTAGTGCTTCTCCTGGCCACTTAGCGGCACGTTTCACCCTGCTCCTGGGACAGACCCAGTGTGTATCTACCACTGCCACTAACCATCTACTCTCCATGGCCCCTCCTCAGCCACCCTCCTTCCTTTAAAGCTGGATCACAGGCAGAGGGGCTTCAGAGGAAGAATTGGAGGTGCAGAGAGGGGAGTGCAGTACTTTTGGTGTGACAGTGAGGAACAGCAAGAACTAATCTTTAGAGAGTCTTTACAGGGTTCAGACCCTGGGCCGGCCCCTATTTTCTTCAGTTCTTACCATGCCAAAATGATAATAGGAATTGAAATAATTCATTTTATAGAAGAGAAAACAGAGGTTGGAAGCAGGGACTAGATTTGAATCGAGGAGGTGTGCTGCCTGAGCCCACAGGCCTAACCACCCACCACCTTAGCACAGCCAGGCCAAGAACCAGGCCTCCTTGGGACCCTTTCATAGTCTAAAGGGCTCCAGGGTCCATCAACACCCCCGCCTCCCTCTCCTCCACCCTCTCGCTTTCCAGGTCTGAGCTGGTCACCCTCTCCAGGATGTCACCAGACTGAGCACACCCCACAGCTTCTCGACAGCCTGCCACATGCCTGGCAATCCATTACCCCCATGCCCGTCCACCTTTCTTCCCTCCAACCGGCCCTGGGCCCACCAGTGCCTCACCAGTCCAAAGCAGGTCTCTGAACCATTCTGGGGCTGGCACTCGGGGTGGCATGGCAGACAGTGTCTGTCCTTCACATACTCCCGGGGGAGCCTGGGAGAGAGGATGGATGTGAGGGATCTGGGAGGAGCCCTTGTGCACCCCTCCAGCCGCCCCTCCTCCACCCCGCATACCCCTGCAGTACTCGGCATTCTTCCACGCACTCCTGGCCCCGCAGGTACTGGCTGCAGTTGACGCACTGGGTGGGCCCAGGACCCCAGCAGTGCCCATGGGCGCACAGTGGGTAGCAGGCCAGCCCCTCCCCCTCTGCAGTGAGGAGGAAGGGGCCAGAGGGGCACTTAAGGGAGGCCCCAGGGCCCAGTGAACCAGGGAGGGGACTGTGGGCATGGCTGTGGGCTGGAGGGGTGGGGACAGGTGCTAGACAATGAAGGGATAAGAAGAGTTCTGAGATTCCAGAAACAGAGAGGGATGCCAAGGCAGTGTGGCAGGGCCCAGCTAGAAGCCATGCCAAGAGGCCAAGCCAGCCAGAACTGAATCAAGAATGGTGCACCAGGGATGGGCAGTCTGCACAAGTCCCAGAAAGCTGCTGCCAGGGGCCCGTGTGGCGCTGGGCTCCCTGTCTTACCGCACTCATCTTCTGGCCGGTTGGCACTGTGCAGCAGGGCCTGGTGAGGATTCCGGAAGAGCTGGTCCCAGGGCACCGTGTGTACGAAGCAGAGACGGGCGTTGCGGTGGATGAGGGCCAGCCCACTGCTCAGCTCCCGCAGTGAGCGAAGCCCCAGCCAGCTGATGCCCAGCCCTTGCAGGGCCAGCGAGTAGGCGCCGCTGTGGGAGGAGGGGTGCTCAGCTGCAGGGTGACCACCTTACCGCCTACCCCTTCCCAGCTGGCAAGGGATGTCCTCACCTTCCTCCTGCCCCCAGCAAACTCCGAAAACTCCATGGAAAGGTATCCCTAGGGAGCAGTCGTTTTCACCCGTGCCCGCAGCTTCTCATAACCAACCGCCCCCTCCCCACCATAGACCTTCTCCCCACCCCCACCCCCGCTGTGCTCACTCGTGCAGAACTCGTCCCCGGATGACTCGCAGGTTCTGGAAGACACTGAGGTCAGGCAGGTTATCTGGCCACGCTGAGATGTACAAGTAACCTGCAGGCACAGAGTGAGGCTGCGTACGTGGGGGACAGGGTGAGGACTCCCAGGCCCACCCCGGGGGCAGCCTGGTGAGGGGCAGGACACAGAGGCAGAGCCCACCTGTGATCTCCTCCAGCGTCTCAAACACTCTGAGCTGCTCAGGCTGTAGGGGGGCAGTGTTGGAGGCTGGGTCCCTAGGAGGAGTAGAAGTCAGCAGGGCCAGGAAGGGGGTGAGCATGACCCCCAGAGCTGGCCCTGCCACCTCCCTGCCATTAATGCCTTCCCTTAAACCTTTGCCCGTCAAGCCTGGCTGCTCCCATTGTGAACTTCAAAGCCTAGGCCCTAGTTTGGCAGGATCTAGCAAAACAATATTTATATCCTTTAATCCAAAAATCCCTCTTCTAGGAATGTGGCCTAGAGAGACACTGGCCCCTGTTCCCAGAAGCACGTCCAAGACAGAACTGTTTGTAAGAGTGAAAACCAAAAATGACCTAAACACCTACCAGTAAATAGATGAGCTGTTAAATAAAACCCTCATCTATCCAGACTATAGAATAAAAACAAACATTTAGGAGTGCTTGGTATGTGCCAAGCACTGTTCTAAGAGCTTTACAAATACTAACTCATTCAAACTTTATAACCCTTTATAAAGTTGGGACTATTATTGCCCCCATTTTATAGGTGAGGAAACTGAGGCACAACGAGGAGAATGAGGTAGGTTTCAAACCCTGGCAGTCTGGCTCCCGAGCCTAGGATCTTAGCTGCTACTATTTGTTGCCACCTGTTCCATAGCTGTTGAAAGAATGAGGCAGCTCAGCACAGACTGTCATGACCAGCTCACCAAAGCAGGGTGCCAACAATGCTCGCAACAGGGTCCAATTCATAGAAATCACCTCCCCCAACAAAACCGTAAAAACGACCTATGTGCCTGTGTAAGCATAACTGCTCTAGAAGGCCATACAAACTGTTCACAGTAGTTCCCTCTGGGCAGGGCAATGAAGTGAAGGAAGTGTTGAAGGGGAATTTTCTTTTTTTAATCTGTCTTTTCATTGAAGTATAATTTACATACAATAAAATACAGATGCGTTTAGTTTGACGAGTTTTGACAGATGCATTCACCCATGTATCTACCACCCCAACCAATGTACAGAACGTTTCCACCCCCCCCAAAATTTCCCTTGTGTCCCTTTCCAGTCCCCCCACCCTCATGCAACCACTGTTCTGATGTCTGTCATTCTAGAGTGGTTTTGCCGGGTCTAGTGCCTCACATACATGAGATCGTCCAGTGTGTACTATCGCCTCTGGCTTCTTTCACTCAGCGTGTTTTTGAGGGTCATCCGTGTTGTTGTGTCTATCAGTAGTTCATTTATTTTTATTGCTGAGTAGAATTTCATGGTATGGATATACCACCATTTGTTTATTTATTCACCTATTGATGGACATCTGGGTTGTTTCCAGTTTTGAGCTATTATGAATAAAACTGCTAGGAATTCATGGGGAATTTTACTTTACCCGGATGGTTTAATCTCTTTACAAGTGCATGTTCGTGGATGACATGTCATTTACAAAAATAAGCTCCCCCAAGTTCCTGCCCCCTTTGGCCCCCACCTGACTCCTTTGCATTGCTGGCCTCCCACCATTCCCCAGCTCTGTGTCTGCCTCAGGCCACCGTACCCACCCTTAAACCCCATGTGTCCTTACCCCTCAAAGCTCTCGGGCAAAAATGCCAGGCTCCCAAAGATCTTCTCGCAGCCGGCAAACTCCTGGATATTGGCACTGGTGACCGCTCTCACCTCCCGCAAGTGTTCCCTGCCCAGGCCATAGCACACTGTGGGGAAGGGGGGGCATGGTGAGGGGACCATCTCAGGCCCCACGCTGGGACTGATCACATAGGGCGTCAGGAATGCAAACTCCTGGCTTCTCTCTGCAGTCCGTTCCTGGTGCCCCAGGCTCCCTCCCCACACTGGCAGGCGATATGGGGAACTGGTATAACTGACCTGGGGAAGGTCAGAGGCAGAGGCAGTGGGAGAAAAGGACCGTGTCCCAGGAGGGTGCAAGGAAGGGTGGAACAGAGTGGGCTGGGTATGCAGAGGGACAGGACTACAGCCTGGCCCAAGGGGCAGCAAGTAGGTACCTTGGGCACAGGGCTTGCTACATTTCTCACACTTCTGAGTCCCATCCTCAGCTGTCACCTCTTGGTTGTTCAGGGGACAGACCAGGGTGCAGGAGCCCACATCCGTAGACAGGTAGTTGTCTGAGGAGATGAGCAAAGATTTGCGCCCTAGCCCTCCACACCCCACCATGCCCAGGTACAATAAGAATAAGATCAAAATACTCAAATGCTCTTACTACGTGCCAGGCACTGGTCCAAGCACTTGACATTCATTCACTCCTCACAACAAGCCTATGTGATAAGCACTGCTGGAATCCCATTTTGCAGAAAGGGAAACCAAAGAACAGAGTTAAGTAATTTATTCAAGGTCATAGTAGTAGTAAGTGGATGAGCCAGGATTTGAACCCAGACAATCAGGTTCTCTCAGCTACCACGGGGAGGTTACAGCCAGAACCTGAGGGCCCACTCCGGTCTCCCAGGAGAGGAGGAAGCAGGTTCCCCAGGTCCCAACCCAGTCCCAGGGGGCTCTGGTACTCACAGGGACAGGTGACCACACAGCTGGCACCAAAGGTGTAACGGCCTTCAGAGTTGATCTCGGACTCGAAGGTGTCTGTGTTGTAGACAACCAGGGGTGGGCAGTGCAGCTCACAGATGCCGCTGTGGTTGAAGTGGAGGCAGGCCTGGGAGGGCAGGCAGCTGGTGGTCACTGGGCTGTTGCTCCCTGGTGTGCCAGGGACTACGGGGCCATAGCAGGTGAGGTGCCCCTCCCCATGTACCTCTTGGTGGGGATGGGGCACAGTGGGCACAGGGCAGAGAGGCACATACCAGGCAGTCGGAGTGCTTGGGGCCCGTGCAGCCCGCAGCACACTGCTCGTGGCAGCAGTCAGTGGGCAGCGGGCCCTTGCAGCGGGCACAGCCACTGGCACAGAGGGTGCGGGTCACTGTTGGGCAAAGGGCAGGATGAGGGCTGAGCGGCAGCCCAGGCACCAGACCCTCAGCAACATCACCTGCAAAGATTCCCTGACCCAGGGAAGACACCCCAGGCGTGGTATCCCACTCTGCCCCAGCCCCCCAGATTCTGGGCCTCGATAAGACTCACAGCTCTGACAGTCCTCGGAACTTTCTCCCCAGCAGTGGGGGACTTTACAAGCTGGAGAACAGGGCCTGCCTGGGGGGAGAAACCAGAGAGAGAGGGAAGGGTTACCGTGGAGAGAGACACAAACAGCAACAGAGACCGAATGCAAGAGGCAGAACGCACAAGTGAGGGAGCGACCCAGACAGAAAAACATGGACTCCAAAAAAAGAGACACAGTCGAGAAGCAGAGGGAGACAGGACAGACGACTATGGAGACAAAGAGACACAGAGAGAGAGACAGAGAGATGGCAGGAGGGATGGAGAACGAGGCAATGGGTGGGGTCAGTGGCTGGGGGTTGGTAAGCTAGGAGTTTGGGGTCAGAGATGAAGCTGAAGGTGGGGTGGGGCTTACAGGGCCGTGAGTGGTTGGCATCTACCAGCTCAAGGGACAGCCGGTTGTTCTTGTGGAAGATGTCTTTCCATAAAATTGTCTCCTGGTAGCAAAGCTGGGGGTTTCGCTGGATCATGATGCCTCCCTTCAGGATCTCTGTAGGGTGGGCAATAATCAGGGGACCCTCTCACCATCTGTCTCCTTTCTGCCCTCCCCTGGGGCCCTCTCGCCTCTCAAGAGAGGAGCAGGCCTCTTACACAACCCCCAGGCTCCCGAGGGCACATCCAGAGGTTTTCCTTGGCATTAACTTCAGCATCTTCTAGCCCTACCAATAGCACACCCCACATACATTCACAATTTTAGATGAATAAATTGAGGCCCAGGGAGGAGTGAGCATCCATGTCAGACTCCAGATGTCCACATCACTCTTCTTTCCTCTCACCTCTACCCTGTGCACACTGCTTAGTCATTAAAGAGATTCTAGGATCTGAAACCCAGCTTCACTAGTATCTGCAAGACCTTCAGCAAGTCACTTATCCTTTGCAAGTCTCAGTTTTCTCATCTGTAAAATGGGAATAATACTGATGCTTCCCTTGCAGGATTAAAGCAAGACTGAAACGGGAATCATGCACGCAAAGAGCTTTGGGACACGGTCAGCTCCAGGGCTGCCATGGATACTTACATGGGTTGTTCACTACACACATGTACTCAGCCAAGTGGGGGCAAAAACCCAGCTTACGTTCTAATTATCAGGCTGAGACTTCCTGGGAGGAAGGGGAACCTTTTTCTAACTTGTATAAAAGCACCTTCCCCAGCTGTGCCTGCATCCACTCAGAGGGGGCGCCGTTTATAGTGCATACAAAGGCACCCCATAGCTAGCAATGGCCCCGGTCAGCTCTCAATACCCAAATCCAGGAGAGGGTTTCAATGATGATGATGATGACCACCTGTGAGGCTTCGCAGCTGCAGCTCCCGCAACCCTTCTGGGACAGCCCCTGTGGCAAGAGTGGCATGGTCCGGTGGGTCTCCATTGTCCAGCACGGCCAGGGCAAATTTGTCCTGGAAGAGCTGCGTGCCTCGCACAATTCGCAGCCTATGCAGAGGGACCTGCCTCACTTGGTTGTGGGCGATGAGCACGTAGCCCTGCACCTCCTGGATATCCTGGGAGGGGACAGGGTGGGACAGGGGGTGAGGCAGGTTTGGGCCTCAGAACACTACCACCCACTAAGGTCTCCTCATTGCTTGAGCAAGGCCCCCAGCCACCCTGAGCAGTCCTGCTCCTTCATGCATAAAATGGAGATCAAGCGCCGCTACCCTCCCTCGCCAGATTTTTGTATGATCAAGAAAGATAATGGTGGAAGGCACACTTTGTAGACGGTTAGCAAGTGCCCTGCCCTCTTTGCCTCATGGTTTCTTCATCTGTAAAAGGAAAGGCCTAGACAAGATGATGTATGACCAAGAAACACGCACATGGCCCCACTCCAAGGCGCCGTGAACACAAACAAACGGTTGGTTTCCACTCTGTCCTGCTCATAACTGTTCACATACATTCCCATTTGATCTTCACAATGGCCCCTCCAGGGTAAGGCAAAGGCAAAGTGAAACCCAGTGAAGCTAAGGGCCGGGACCACATTCACACGGCTAATAAGTTGCGGAACTGGACCTGGAACACAAACATCTCCCACCAGCTCTTTCCACAACTCCAAGTGGGAGAGGGATGGTGGCTGGAGGACTTGAACAGTAGGGGAGGTGATTATGTTGGCAAGAGAGCAAAAATTTAGCAGAGGAACACATGCATTTCACCCAAGAGGTCCATGGCCAGTCACATTAAAGAGAGAGCGTCAACTGATCTTGCAGCAGAATGGGTGGAAGTTAAGACATCAGAAAGGGCTTCCCAGTTGAGGAACCACAAGAAAGGCAATATAGAGAAGAGACACCCCATTCTACCAGCCACCTATAAGCAGAGGGCTTGGCCCAGCTGGAAGCAGGGGACTGGCTGGGTTGTCCATAGGCCTCACCTGCAGAAAGGAGAGGCCGGCATTGGCAGGCAGGTAGGTGAGCTCCAGGTTACCCTGCACCACCTGACAGCCCTGGTAGAGGTGGCGAAGCATGTCCAGGTGGGTCTCGGGGCTGGCCGGGAGCTGCAGCTTCATGTCTGTGCCGGTGCACACTGGCAGGAGGGAGGAAACAGGTCAGAGGGCCATGTCATCCACCCTCACTGTTGACCCCGAGTCGTGCAATTTCAGACAGGGAGAAAGCACAGCTAAAGGACCCCTCCTCCCATGTCCCGTGCGCCTGTAGGGTTACCAGCAGAAGAAAGCTTGGGTGTTTGGGAAGGGAAGTTAGGGGAGCAGCTCTTTCTGGCTGGTCCCATTCTGAGAGCATCCCAGGGGGCCTGGCTGTGCCAGCCTATGGAGCTTGCGTGCCCAGTTCAGGGTGTTAGCTGGCAAAGAAAGCCTCCCTCTGTCCCAAAGGCCACAACTCAGGGCCAAGGGGTAAAAAATCCCCCAAGAGAGGAGATGAATCATGAATCCTTTGGATACCCCCTGCCCCACCTCCCAAGCAAACAAACTCGGGGAATTCTCCCTACCTCATTCCAACACCACCCACGTGCCAACCTCCTGGCAAGGGATACCCAGCTCTCCAATGCCACCCAGAAAGTGAGAAAGAAGGGTCGGCTGGAGTCATAACTGGGGGCATGGGGGCACCCAAGGGCCTGGTCACTGCAGAGACCTCTGGAATTCCCCCAGGCAGAGAAAAGGAGTATCAGGCCCCAGGCTCAGACCCCGAGCCAGAGTGATGCCTGTTGTGAAGGCTCCTACGCTGGCACCCTTGCCTTGCCACCTCCTCAGGGCAAGACTCCAGAACCAGCTGGCACAATTGATGCCACGAAACTCCTGCCACAAAGGCACTACGTCAGCCCTGTGTACCTGCCCCAGTGCCAACCAACAGCCAAGGGGCATCAAGATAAACTGTCATACCCGGTCCACCTGGCCCCAGCCTGGTGTCCCTGGGACCAGAAGTGCCCACTGAGATCAGATATACTAGAGGGGGTAAACTAAGCTCCTGGGGAGATGGGCGTTCTGGGCAGCAGCTGGCACCATGCCTGCCAGCAGGGGGAGATGGAAGTGTCCAGCTGAACTCGTTTTTCTGCTCTGTGGAGAAGATGAATCACCTGATGTGTCTGGCCCAGGAGGGTGTAGAGGGGAGAGGAAGGGGGAGGCGGAGGGCACCCTTGGTTACACAGGCCCACAGGTGTCTGAGCTACCCGGAATTCCTGTTGGTCCCCTCTGACGGACTATACTACGTGCATAGTGGGGAGGGCACAGTGGCTGGCTTCAAAGTCTGACGCCAGGGCCTCTGCTCTCCCAGCCACTTGGAGCCTAAGGTCAAATCCTAGGGGGTAATAAGAGACACTCCCTGCCTCTGAGAGCTGGGCTGGTGCCCAAGAGCTGGTAACCTTCCTGTAACACGCGGAGGGGTCTCTATTCCCAGCCCACTGGGCAGAAAGGGAAGGAAGCAAAGAGGGAGGAAGGGGAAAACTCAGGAATAGAACTCAAGGGTCCATCTCCCAGACTGAGAAAGACAGAGACCGCCAGGCCTCCCCTTCCATGCCTCACCCACTGACACCTCCTCCTTCCTCAGCCCCTCCCCCCTAAACTCCCAAGAGAAACAGGAGCCCAGGGTGGCAGGCCAGGCCCAAAATAACGCCCTGCTGCCAGGACCTCCCCCGACCTCAGCAGTTTCAGCTGCTTCACAGGCACAGCTGTCTCCAGGCCCGGAACCCAGGCCCTGGCCCAAGCCTCAGGGACAGGGACCCACAGGTCTGGGGCAGAGGCGTCTCCACCCCCTGCGGCTCTCTGCCACCTCCAAGGGACATCAGCTGTGGCAGCCAGGCAACAGGAAAACAACGGGAAGTGGGAGCAGCACGTTAACTGGTGCCTACCATGTCCCCCTCATAACATCCTCCAGAGCCTGGGCTGCAAAGAAGGAAACTGAAGCTGGCAGGGGTTAGATTCTCCCAAGGTCACAAACTTGTGCGTGAGAGGCAGGATTTGAACTCGGGTCCGTCTGAGTTTAAATCCCACATTCCTTCTACTAGGCCTAACTGCACACACACAAATACACTCCACGCCCCATCCAGCATAAAGACATGCCAACTCTCCTGGTGCCACCGATAAACGTTACAGGGCTCTAGGCAGGGCAGCTGGACTGGGCTAGGCAGGAGGGTCAGAAACCTGGTAGCCCTGCCCCACTAGTGAGTTTGTTTACCTGATTTGTGGTTGCTTTGAGTCTGATTAAGACTCTTAAAGTGTTTGCAGACAGGTGGTAAAATTGGTACTCTAAGTCCTACTCCCAGGGAACTGCAGGCTAACTGACGAATCCCCCCGCCAACTTGACATGAAGCCAAGAAGGCCTTTTTGACACCTCCCTAGCCTTCCCTCCCACCATTATCCCCCCACCTCTTTCCCACTCCCCCATCTCCGCACGAATCTCCCCCTCACCAGTTCTCACCACAGCCCCCATGTTTTATTTGGGGGTAAAAAGTCCTAATTCCACAGGGGGAAGCTCTTTATATCCAGGATACCTGCCCCTCAGGAGCTCCAACCTCCAATTCTCCACGAGAAAGACAGTGAGGCAGGACCAGTGCAGAGCAAAGACAGGACACACAGTGATAAACGGGATAAGTGTTAGATGAATGAACGAATGAATGAATTCCAGTCAAGAGTCTTCAAGTCAAAAGGGACAGGTTGAGGTCATGGTGTCCATCCTTCTGATGAGAGGCTGGTCAAGGTCCTTCATGTCCCTCCTGCTAGACTTGGGTGGTCAGGATTTCGTCCCAGCCCTGGATGGATTCTCTCCTCCCTCCCGGCCTCCAGCCCCAGCTGCTTCTCTTGCTCACCAGCATGGAAGCCAACACTTCCTTTGGTCTCCACGAACGCTACAGGACACCTACCTGTGACCTGGGGTCAGAGCCCACTCTAGTCTCACCAGGGTGCATCAGGCCTGAGCTCAGGATCTTTAGACCAAAACCCTAGCTCTGCCACTCACCGTGTGACCTTGGGCAAGTCCCTAGACCTTTGGATCCTGCATCCCAGCCCCTCCAGGCAGAAATCTCTATGCCTTTCGGTGCCTGCTATTAAGTAGACGTTCAGTGAATATGTGCTGACCTGAACTTGGTTTAAGGAGAGGATCATAAAAACTATAACAACTCTTACTCTCCTCAGAGAAGCTAAATGAGAGCTAAATAAGATAATGAACGGAAAAGCAGTCTGTAAACATGACAAGGCTTTGTAACGGAACTGGGGCAACACAAACACTAGCTAAGAGAATTCTCCGACTCCCCTCAGCTCTTTTCCCCGGGGTGGGGAGGACAGGTGGCCTAGCCAGAGATGGAGGTGTCATCCCAGAAAGGGCTTCTCATAGGCTGAGAGCAGGGAGGGGGTCTCTTTCCAGGTCATTCCGGCCCCCGGGGCAGGCACAGCTGCACTGGGACCTACACCAGCCTTCCAGCCCCAGCCTGCACTGGTCTCTCATGCTTCCACTCCAGCTGTCTCCCTCTGCTCACAGCCATGCATGTCCCAGTGGCCTCCACTCCCATCCTGCCCTCAGTCCCCTGCCGTGCTAGGAGGGCCCAAGAGGAAGGCAGGCGTGGGCTGGACAGGGAGGGAGAGGACTCTGAGGCAGGAGGGTCCCCACTGGGTTGTGGGAGACAGCTCCAGTTTCTATAACCTAGCTAAATGGATAGGAAGGTCATTCACCTAAAAATCAGCGTAGTGTCTCTATGCTCTTCTGGGCACAAGGCTGACCCTAAGCCAGGGCTTTGCTCAATGCATTCCTGTTGAATGGAATTAAGACTTTGACTAACTCTTGATGCCTCCTTACAGGAGTCAAAAATGCCTTGGGCATTATTGGTTAGCTGGGGAGTCTTGGATAAGTCATTTCATTTCTCTGAACTTCAGTTTTCTCATCTGTGCATCTACGTCACAGGAGTGTTGCAAAGATTAAATGAAATTGTGTGCAAGAACTTGGAATACAGGAAGTTAAGGCAAGAGACATTAATACAGCAGAAATATGGGAAATCTCAAACCAAGAGAACATAAAAAGTTTTGTGTTTGACTTTGGAATGCAAAATCTGTTCTCTTTTTACATTTGAGCCTATCTTTTCCATTGTTTTTTTTTTTTCTTGACTATTAAAATAAGGCTACTTTCCCTGAGCCCCTAAGTATAATAAAAGGAGAAGGCTATTAGGAGAACCATACTGGAATTAAAAAATGGGCTCTGAATGATAAAAAGGATGTGTTTGCTGCAATTTACAAAACCTCTAAGAAAGGGTGTCGGTAAAATCCTGACCCTCTGGGACTTCCCCCACATCCCCTCCCCCCACTACATTCCTGCCCCTGCCCTCAGCCCTGAGATATAACAGGGGTGTTGGAGGCAGCTGGGTGGTGGTGTGCTGCCGTTTTAACCATTCCCTGCACAACACACCCAGCATCGCTCCCTGCACCCAGCAGTGCAGGCTGAGGGCTGAGGAAGCCCCAGCGAACAGCGATCCAAGGACCCCTCCCTCACAACCCAGCTCTGCAGCAGCCCGGTCCCTCCCTGCCTGACGGCCCAGCCTAGCCTCACCCTTCTCATCAGAGCACCAGGGGTGACGACGCCCGCCTGGGAAACAGGGAGGGGAAGGATGGGCTCCCCGGGAAAGAGGAGCCTCCTTCCTCAAAGAGAAGGCGTGGAGCCACCTCTGCTGTTTACGGCCTATCTGGCCCAGCACCTTGAGGGAGTTCCTTGAGAGGGCAGAGTTCAGCCAAGTGCCCAAGTAAGCGGGGAGATTGCTGTTTGGCAATGCAAAGCCCAGACACACAAACACCCAGACCACACAACTCAGCAACACCCTGGCGTAGACACGCAGCCTCACACACGCACGTTGACACCCTTCAGATAGCACAGCAATGCACTGACCCTCCGGCAATGTGCAGGCACTATGACACCACCACCCCTTGGCTCTGTAGCCTTTGGGGACCACCCACTACTTTTGGAACACTCTCATTTTGTTTTCTCCACAACTCGGGAAAGCAGGGCACAGTGTCCCCCTTGTTCAAGGCAGATTAATACAGTGATTTCGAATGTGTGGTTGGGGATTGGACTGCCTAGGGTCGAATCTGAGCCCACCATCACTGGCTGTTAGTTAACCTCATTAATCCCAGGTCTTCACCTGGAAAATGGGAATACTAGTGGGACTTCCCTTAGAGGGTGTTGAGGATTAAAGAAAGGAATACATGCAAAATGCCATACACAGTGCCTAGCACCCAGGAGACCTCCAATACACTGTTAGCTTTCAGCATTACTGCCTACAGACCGGCAGATAGGTGCCCCTCTGGAGACACACACTGCCCCCGTGTCCCTTTCCCACACACAGCATGAGGGAAACGGCAGCTTCACAGCCCAGCCTTCTACATACCCCCACCTGGCCCATTTCCTACCCCCCCCAACTGCGCAGGAACCCCTTCCTTGGAACTCTCCCTCTTTATGCCCCAGAACCCGAAGCCCCCACCACCACTCCGCCACCCACTGTGTTCTCCAAAACTCATAAAGCACCCAGTCCCTAAGCTGGCCCTGAAGAAACTTGTTCAAAACAACCGTCTCGCCCTCCCCGCAAGCCCAGACCCCAGCATGAAGCAACTCTGCAGCCTGCCCGGCCGCCCTCTCCTCCCGGCTCCGGCTGAACAGGTTGCTCTCCCCACCTCCCCCTCCGCACCCCGACCCTGCCAGGAGCTGGAGTAACCAAACCCTAGCGACTGAAGGGGGCGTGGAGGGGGCGGGGAGGGACAGGGCGGAGGGGACCCCCCAAAGGAATCCAGTCCAGTCCAGTCTGGGGGCGGAGGCTGCCAACTGGATAAGCTTTGAGAAAGTTTGAGAGGGCTCAAGAGGGGGGAAACACACACACTCTTCACCGCGCAATCTGCCCTTTAGGGGAAAACTTTCTGAAAAATTTCCGAGAACTTTTTTGACAAGTTCCCGGAGCCAGTCTCCTCAATGGAACTTCTAGATCCGCTTCGGTGTAACTGCCCACTGGCCCACCTTCTTTTGACCCCTCCCTGCCCGAGTGCCCGGCTGCCCGGAGCGCCCCGACTGTCCCCAACTTCGGGTCCGGAGAGATCGCGGGCCCTTCTGCCCCGGCCCGTCCGGTCCCCGCTTTCTGCGGGGACCCAGGCTGCAGGGGCTCCTGTCGCTGCTCCATGCGCTCCCCACCCCAAACCCACCTTGGGTGCCTGCGGCTCCAGGGGGCAGGAGGGCGAAGAGAAGCCCCCAGCGGCACCAGGCCGCCAGCTCCATGGTGCTCACTGCGGCTCCGGTCCCATGGCTCCGGCTGGACCAGGCTGCGCGGGCGCCGGGCGCGGCGGGGCGAAGGGCGGGCGCTGGGCGCCGGGGCGGCACCCTGGGAGGGGCAGGCGGTGGCCTTGGGGTGCTCCTCTTCACTCCCGCCACGATCGAGGGGAGTTTCAGCTCCACAACTTCATTCTGTACTTCCTCAAGGCAGCCCTCCGCCTCCTCCTCCTCCTCCTCCTCCTCCTGCTCCTGTGATTGGGAGCAAGCGCGCTCGCAGCTAGCCCCCCCACCCCCTCCAACTGCATTCCAGCAAGTCTCGGGGAGTGGCCCGGCTTCACTTTCTCCCTCTCTCGGCGCAGGCCTGTGAGCGTCCCTCCGAGGGCTGGGACGCCTGGGTTCCCTGCAGCGGTTCTCAAACGCTTCCGTGGAGAACCCCTGAAAGTCTGGGGCAAATTCTTCGGGGGCCGCCTGTTATCCTTAACACTTTTAAGTCGCCTGTTTTATCTTAAACATTCCTGGCGAGTTTGCGTCCTACACATCACATGGCTATTTGTTTTAATATCAAATAATGGTTTTCCCACTGCATCCTCAAGCAAAATTGACAGACAAGGAGGGTAGCGTGTTCTGTTTAACTTGTGGCTTCCGGGACTCCGTGGAATACCTTTTCAAATCTTTTAGGTATCTTCCCCGGTGTGAAAAGCATGGTCCTAAGGGGATCTACAAAGGGAGGAGGGGAGAGACGTTCAGATTGGTGGGACCTCCTCCCCATCCTTGGAAGAACATCCCTTTTGTTTCTTTATGCGGGCGTCCAGCACCCAATTCATTCAAGGTTTCTTCTCTGTCCCTTGCCTTTTACTGTTTTGTTCAATTCCATCTCCCCACCCTGCATTCCACCTGGAGCCCCTGACCCTGTTCCTCAGGCTCCGTGGTGGGGTGGGGTGGGGCTGGGGATAGAAAGAAGGCATGTTTTTGCTGGAAATTCCAACAAAAGAATGCACAGCACATACTTATACTAACAAGTTATTCGTTGTTTACCTGAATTCAAATTTAACTGGGCATCGTTGTTTTTATTTGCTAAATCAGGTAAATCTAATTGGAATGCCCCAGTCAAGAGAGGGTCAGAGGCACCTATTGGGGAGTAGAGAATGAAGGACACTAGCATTTCTTAAACTGCTTCCATGTTCCTGGCATGGTTACAAGCAGGCACTTGTACAGTGGAGGTAGGGGTGGTGACAGCATCAGCAGCTCTGGGATCAGAACGACCTGAGTTCAAATCTCTCTCTTCTGTCACATATCAACTATGTGATCTGGGGCAAGTGACTGAACCTGTCTGGGTCTCAGTTTGCTCATCTGTGAAGTAGGGTCTGGAATAGCATCTGGCATGCTGTGCTAGGGGTTAAATGAAATAATGCTCCTGAAGCACTTCGCACCATACTTGGCACATAGTAATTGCTCAATCAATAGTTCCAACTGTGGAACTGGAGCCCTGGTGGCACAGTCATTAAGAACACAGGCTGCTAACCAAGAAGTCGGAAGTTCGAATCCACCAGCTGCTCCTTGGAAACCCTGTGGGGCAGTTCTACTTTGTCCTATGGGGTCCCTATGGGTCGGAATCGACTGGACAGCAATGGATTTTGGTGGTTACACTGGGGCAGATCCAGGTTTTGTGGGGGCCTGAAGCTCATAAACTTTGGGGCACTCTCTTTAAGAAAAGGAATATCATACCAGTTGCCATGGAGTGGAGTTGATTCTGACTCGTAGCAACCCTATAGGACAGAGTAGAAGTGCCCCCATAGGGTTTCCAAGGCTGTAAATCTTTACAGAAGCAAACTGCCACATCTTTCTCCCACGGAGCAGCTGGGGGGTTAGAACTGCTGACCTTTTGGTTAGCAGCCAAGTGCTTTAACCACTGTGCCACTAGATCTCCAGGAAAAGGAATACAGGAATCCTCCAAAAAAATGGAATCCTCCAAGAAACAGGATACATTAGATGGTCATGAAACCAATTGAGACTATCAAGATCTGTATTTTTTTTTTAAGAGATAAAACAAAATAGAAAATACAAGAGCATCACATGTAGTAAGGGTAAGTATGGTTTTGTGTGTGTGTCCCAGATAGTGATATAAAATAGATTTATTCCTTGCATGACAGTAACAGATGTGTTCAAGAAACCCTGCCATACATGAAGATACAGCAGCCCTTCAAGATGGGCATCCAAATTCTTATTTTCTCTAGAGTTGGGTTAAGGAAACTGAAGCTCAAAAGAGTTAACAATTTGCCCAGTACTGTCTTAGGGCTAACTGGGGAAAAGTTGAACATCCAGCAAAATCAGCCCCTCACCTCCACCCCATCATAGAGCCCAGAGCCTAGTCAATGTGCCTCTCAGCCCTTCAGGGAGAGGAAGAGGAGACGCTGACTTGGTTCTAAGAGTCACTTGCTGATCACACATCAAGGCTTTGCCCCTGGGTGAGAGCACATGTGGCCTTCCAGAAACCATAAAGATGTTAGGGTCAAGGTCAGGGTCAGGGTTAGAGGTGTCCCTTCTCCCCAAGAGTAAAGAAGGGCTCATCCGATCAGGAAAGTTGTGACTCTCTCTCCTAGATCCACAGTCCTCATGTCACTGAGTCCTCGACGACGTACCAGAGACCTGTGTGATCAGTCCCCTTTTACAAAAGAGAAACCCCAGGATTCCTAGAGGCAAAGGAACTTGTCCAAGACCACAGAGCAGAGCTGGGAGCTGAACCTGGTCTGTGGAGCCATGGAGGTTTTCGCTTGGGCCATTAGCCTCAAGAGCCCCAAATGCTGGGTACCCTGAACCCACCCTCTCCCGAGGACCCTGCAGGGGAGCTAGAGGAGACCCCCTCCGAGAAAAGAAGTCTGGGTAGCTACAGCCCTTTCCGCTGCAAAGATTCTGCCTCCCCCTCCACAGCAAGCCCATCCACTCGGTATCCCGGATCCCAGGGAGACAAAGCTCAGCACTAGTGGGCTGCACAGAAAGGCTGGAGCCAGCAGAGTGGGGGCAGGAGAAGGGGTGGGGGAGGAGCTGGGGTCAGAACTCACGCCCCGGGGAGGAGGCTAGAGAGGGGCTGAATCTCTCAAAGAGAATGAGCCCATTCAGAGCCGGGAAGGAAGGGGAAAAAACCCTGTCTGCTGCTTGACAAGAGGAGAGGAAGGGGGGCAGGGGTGGGCGCTGCTGATTCGATTCTCCCTTCACTGTCCCTCCAGCAGGGCCTGGCAGGAGTGCCAAGGAAAGAGGATGTCTGAGGGACAAAGAACGAGAGGGGGAGTTTCAGCGGGGAAGAAACGGTGGCTGGAGAGTGAGTCAGGATTGTTGGGGGAACATGAGAGTCCAGGAGAAAGGCTTAGTGAGGGGCCTAAGAAGAGGGAAACTGGGGTACAGGGGAATGGTGACTGCAGGATAGAGGGGAGCAAACCGAGGGTCGGAGGGCATATGCATGAGGTCTTTGGGTGACAGGTATAGGATCCGTGGGCAGGAGAGGTGACCACTGGCACTGAAGAGGCAAGACAGGGCTCTGGCTCACAGAGGTGACCTCTAAGGGTCAACAGGCTGCGGTCTGGAACAAGCAGCCTGTGAAAGCCAGTCAATCATTGACCAGCCACTGGGACTGGGGGACACACAAGGCTGTGTGTGTGAGGGTATTTGTCTGTGTTGGCACCGGAGTCTCCTCCCCTCTGCCTACCTCACCAGCCAGCCAGGGGTCAGAGGATTGAAAACAAACAAAAGAAGGGAGGGGAGAGTCCACAGTCCGAGGTCCAGGCCACAAATTGGAGCCTGCCCCACAGGGCCTCGGGCCTGGGGCATGGATTCCTGGGCAAGTGTTTGTGTGAATCGTTACTTAGAGTCCTCTGAGAGTGGACACAAGTCCTCCCTGGGGCCACAGGAGAGTAAGTTAGAAGCTTCTGATAAGAAAATCCATCCTTACTACAGGTGGCCATTTATGAATACTTGTAGCCTAACCACGTGGAAGGCCTGGGCCCAGGGTTAGAGAAAAGGCAGCGCCCAAACTCACCAGACCCACCGGCCCTGGTCATGCCATTTGCCTCCCTCAGCACCTCTCACCCACATCTCAGGAATGCAGGCCCAAGGCCCCTTTCTCTCCTCAGGCTGCTTTGCAGAAAAAGCACTCTCTGTCCTCCGCCTCACCTCGCTTTAATGCATATACATGAAGGAATGAGTGACTTTTTATCCTGGCCTGTGCGTACCAAGCTGTCATGGAGCCCATTCTGTGTGTGCTGTGTGTGCTGTGTGTGTGTGTGTGTGTGTGTGTGTGTGTGTGTGTGTGTGTGTGTATGTGTGTATGTGTGCACCCTTAGTTTATCTGGGAGTCTCTCCTCTAACAGTAGCTTTGCTGTGTCGCCTTGGATAAGGCCTCACTTTGCTGTCTGAAATATGAGAGTTGGACCGGATGGTTCCTGGTCACAGTGTTTTAGGATTTGGTGTGGGGACAGTGACCCCTCCAACCCCCACACTTGTCCCTTGAAAGCCCCATTGAGCCAACCCTCTCCCAGATTCCTTGTTCCACCAGCCCTGAGTCTTCCCACTCCCCTTGGCCCTTCAGGACTCCAAGCATATCCTCCTCGATGCTGAAGTACAGACCAGGAGAGTGTAAATGGAGTCACTCTTGCTTCTGACTTTTGGTTTTGAGAGGAAGAAACTAGGAAGTTTCCAGAAGCACAAAACTACGGCAATCGTGAAATCCTGGCTTTGGAGGACATTCCAGTTTCAGATAATTACACTATGTCAAAAAATAAATAAAAACAGACATCTTACTTTGATTTCAAGGAGCTTCTCTCTCACCAGTGATACCACAATTAAGAGTAAAAGCCTAACACAAACTGCAAAACTATTAACTTGTGTTTTTGTTTATTTTAACCAAGAAATGCTAACTACTCTGAAACATTGTCAACTTGCCTTTTCCGGCTTAAAAACGGGTAGTCAATAGCAAACCCATTATCTCATGATTTAATGAAAAAGACTGTGTGCTTCCTAAATTTTCATTTCAAGAGGTCTCCTAGCTACAAATATGTAAAGAGTCAAGTTTTCAGGCGATTTTTTTTTTTTTTTAATGCCATCTCAATCATCCTTAAGTACTTTGTCATTATGGAAACTTGAATTCATTAAGAAAAAAAAAATGAATTTTTTAAGCCTCTGTAAAATTTCCAGTCCTTGGGAGGTTTGCTCTCCCAATTTGCAAATTATTCATTAAATCAGAGAGCAATCATATATTGCATTATTGTTTTGAGCTA